GCATTTAGCTATGAATGATCTAATTTGTGCATTTAGCTATGAATTAGCTAATCTGAGCATTTAGCTACAAATTACCTAATTTGAGCATTTAGCTACAAATTACCTAATTTGAGCATTTAGCTATGATTTAGCTAATTTGAGCATTTATCTATGAATTATCTAATTTGAACATTTAGCTATGAATTAGCTAATTTGAGCATTTAGCTATGAATTACCTAATTTCAGCATATATCTATGAATTATCTAATTTGAACATTTAGCTATGAATGATCTAATTTGAGCATATATCTATGAATTACCTAATTTGAGCATTTAGCTATGATTTAGCTAATTTGAGCAGTTATCTATGAATTACCTAATTTGAGCATTTAGCTATGAATTATCTAATTTGTGCATTTAGCTATGAATTATCTAATTTGAGCATTTAGCTCTTAGTTGGCTAATTTGAGCATTTAGCTATGGTGTTGCTGATTTTAATTTTTAGCTACCAATTTAATGGTTTAAGCTTTTAGCTATGTTTTCTCAATTTAAACGTTTAGCTACAGTTTTGATAGTTTTCACATTTAGTTTTGAATTAGCAAAATTTAGCATTTGGCTATGGTTTTGCTCATTTGAAATTTTAGCTACAGTTTTGCTAATTTTAGCAATAGTTTTTGTGAACTTAGCATTTTGCTATGAATTTGCTCGTTTTCAGCATACAGCTCTGCTATAGCTAATCTTAGTTTAATTGGTTTTAGCTTCAGTTTTACTCGTTTTAACTTTGATCATTCAAAGATCAGCCGTCCTTCAGCACTCAGCGGTCACGCTGCGTTCCCACAGAAAACGCTCTTTCCCAGTTCTAACTGTTTTCACTTGATAAAAAACAGGACACAGTTTTGTTTCGTCATGAACCAGAAGAACTTGATGCCTGAACAGCATCGTTTGGGTTTCTGAGCTCTTTCCTTCACCTCGTGTGCGTAGCTCTCAGCTTTAACTCGGAGGTTTTGCTCCAAGTCCAGCTGCTCCTTCATCCCGTCGTACTCCTGAGCTGCCATCATGGAAACTGCAGATAAAACACAAATCAAACCGTTTTGTTCAACGTATATTTCCTGTTTTGAGTCGCTGGTTTTTTTTTTTTTTTTTGGACTCACCTCTGTTGAATCTCTTGATGGTTTTGCTCTGCTGCTCGACTGTCTCACAAAGTTCTTTCATCTCTGCTTGATTCTTCTCTGACTGGTCTCACCAAAGAGATGATCAGAACGAAGACGGAAGGACAATTAAATACCGGTTAAACTAAAATATGAAGAACAGAAGATGTGTGGGTCCATCTGTGCTCACCTGGAGGCTCAGCTCTTCTATCTGTCGCTGCTGTTCATGAATCTGACAGACAAACTTCTTCTTCTCCTCCAGCAGATTGTTCACGGTCTCCCGCAGCTCTGACGGATCAAACGTTTAGTTTCAATCAACAGATTTAAAGTTCACTTTGTTCAGGATGTAATGTCTAAACGCTGTCGTTTCACAGGAAGCTCATGAACAGAAAATCTCCGTCCTGACGGCGAGAGTTCAGATGAATTCACAAAAACTCTGAATAAAACTGCTCAAAAAAATTAAAAGGCCAAACAAATTCTGCCGCATTTAGAAGGTACCATAAAGTTCGAGCTCCGAATAATTTTCAGATTAAATACATTTTTAAAAGAAAAGTCAAAATGAGGAGAAAGAACAGGAGAATCCAGGAAACGGAACAAAAACTGAACTACTTAAGAAAACGGGATCAGTTCAGATAAAAGACGAGTTCAGACACAAAAAAAGCCAAAGAAGGTCAAACAAAACAGTTTGGAGGAAAACTAAACTAAAGTGAACAGAACATCAAGAGAAATTAAATTTTCTGTGTGACTATGACAGCTGAAGCAGCTGAAAGAGTTGCTGAAGCTTAAAGACGCATAACAATAGCTAAAAAGAGCAAAAGGGTAACTAGATGCTATAAGTCGCAAAAGCTAAAAGTAAGTCAAAGGGGAGCTAGAAGCTAAAATAATTAAAGGGCTATCTTAAAGTTACAATTAATAAGAAAGTAGCTAAAAGCTAAAAGTAGCTAAAGAAGACAAAAACAGAGCTGAAGCAGATTTTAAAGAGAACAACGTTTTTGAAAGACTAAGAGATTTGAATGTGTTTCTATGGGAAAAAATTTAATATTGTGGAAAAGCATTAAAGTTACAAAAAAAAAAAAACCTCAAGTCACAGTACCCATCTTCTGAATGCGCCCAACGTTTCGATGTATGAGCAGCTAAAACAGAACAAAGTGTGCAGAAGAAGTTGGACTGAAAAAAACGTACAAATAAAAACTGTGATGCTGACTCAGCGTTCTCTCTATTACTGGGACACGTTTCTGCTGATGTTGCAGGTGGGAGGAAATAATCCCCGAGTCGTACCTTTCACCTGTAGCTGGCACTGAGTGAAGGTGTCCGGGCTGTTGTCCGCTGCGTCTCCATCAGCGTCCAGCGGGACGCAGTCAGAGATGCTGGGAAGCAGCTCGTCCAAACACGGCCGTGACGTCAGGCTCAGATACTTCAACTTCCTGTTCTCACAGTTCAGCTGGACGTAAAGAGGCAAGGTGAGATTGTTACTGAAGCTGCGTCCACCTTTAAAGACTGATCAAATCACAGCGTTCCCAGAGGGAGCTCATTAACACCAAGACGATGTCATCAGTTGGTGCCTGCAGAGTCGTCCTGGCTCGACTGTTGGCCCTGAGCTCCTGCTGATGGCAGCTGATAACGAAGCATTGATCAGTGTGTGTGCGTTTTTGCTTCAGGTTACCTTGTAGGGACCAATTTTACCAAAAAAAAATCATGCATTGTGGGAACAACTGCTCTTTATGGGGACCAAAGTCAGATCTCCATAAGGAGAAGTCTCGTTGGGGGGTTAGGTTTAGGACTACGGTGTGAATTGCGACTGGGTTAGGGTTAGGCATGTACTAGTAATGGTTAGGTTTAGGATAAGGTCGGTGTTAGGCTATAGAAAATGAATGGAAGTCAATGCAATGTCCCCAGAAATTATGTGTGTGAGCCAGACCTTGGTGGCCAGGGCCTCTGCATTCTCCCGACATGACTTCTCGATCTCGAGCTGAGTCTGCAGAACTCCCACCTCCTCTATCACCATCTGAGACACTGATGGACACAGAGACAGAACTATGTCCATTAGACATCCACCACCAAGTGGACAATAACTTCCTGTAGGGACTACCGGGGTACTTCTGACTGCATCTTTTACATAAATGCAGAACATCAACAGAGGAAAACAAAAATCTACAAATAAAGCAGGTTTTATGCTTCTTCCAGTCTTCATGTCTTGTTTCCATGTAAGAGTTTGGACACTTATGAGTTTGTCTCATCTTCAACTAAGCAAAAAGACGCCCAGGTGCACTCCAACAAGAGTCACACTGAGAGATTAGCTCTAGTCCAGTGTGAGGAACAAGCAGCAAATACACTGAACAAAAATTTTAACACAACACTTTTGTTTCTGCTCCCATTTTTCATGAACTGAACTTCAAGACGCCTTTGGAGACGTCTCGTGGTGGAGAAATGAGCCTCCAATCCACGAGCAGCAACTCTGGTGGACATTCCTGCTGTCAGCATGCCAACTGCACGCTCCTTCAAAACGTGCAACGTATGTAGCGTTGTGCTGTGGTAAAACCACGTATGTTAGAGTGGCCTTTTATTGTGGTCAGCCACACCTGTGCAATAGTCATGCTGTCCAATCAGCATCTTAGTATGAGGTGGATGGATTATCTCGGCAAAGGAGAAATGTGAGTGTAGCAGTGAATGGAGGAAGAAGGGTGACACTTGCTCTTCACACTTGATCCCACGTCCTCTGTTGTTCTTTGGAGCATCATCATCATCGTCACCATCATCATGTTGCTTTATTGGACTTTAATTCATCTTTTACCACCGTGATTCCAAACGCTGTGGGTCACTCCATCTTTTATCCACTTTGTACCCACACCCTAACCAAAACAGTAGGCCCATGGAACAACCAGAACTCAGAGGGTCACATTTAAAGCTTCAGTATTGGCTGGAGCTCCATTGATTGTGTTTGCAGCATTGACAGTGGTTAGGGTGATGACGATGAAGACACTGATGTTCAGGACAAATGACGAGGACACCTGTTATTTTGATCATCTAAGGGACGTGGGTCGGATCCAGTCCAGAAAGTCTAGCTGGTGTATAGAGTCACTTTGTTGCCTCTTCAAACCACCGTTTTATTGTTTTAAAAATTACTTTGAACCATGTACTTAACATTACGTGTTAATTTTTCTTAGCGGTTAAATATTTTGATCAATAATGAGGACAAATAAAACTCATTTGTGCCTCAGAGACAAACAGAAAGATACATTATCTTCCACAGTAATCCTATAGTCATAATCTTGACTCTAACCAGAAAATAATATGGTCCTTTTGATGGTTTTTTCATACCCAGACTTCTGTAAGTAAAAAATGCCATGGGACGTTTTGTACCTGCCTATGATTTAAAATAAACTCTGTTATTATAATCTACTCAGCTGGTTAGAATTTGATTTAAATTGGGATCTAGGAAAACCCTGTAAGAGAACGCTCCGGTATGAAGAGGTGAAAGCATGAAGTGACCCTGAGCTGACCGGTTCCTACAGGTTCTCTGCACTTTCAAGTCAGTCAGACAAGACAAACTGCATTTTGTCATGAAAGCTACAAACATTTAACCAACAAACTCAACAAATATCTTTCTAGGAGCACAGAAAGGACATGTGACCAAGACTAAAACACCAGTGGAGATGAGAATGTCAATCCAGGAAGTAAACACGTCTAAAATCAATGAGTTTTTGCAATTTTTGTGAGGAAAAGTGCACAAGATGTCAATTTGGCATTTAGAAACATACAAATATCCACAATAAATCATTTATCTAATAATCAGAACTCCTTGCTCTGAAATAAACCCAACATTGGGTTTGTTGTCCCAAACTGGTTCTAGGATTGTTGCAGTTTTAAAAACACAAAACGACTTCTCGTACTGAAATCACAACTTCCTCATTATGCAATTTTATGTGTTTTCTGTCACATTCACTGGGGCTTTTCTGTACAAATACAGCTTAAAAAAAGAAAAATACTGAGTCTGTCGGAGGTTTGCAGCTGCAGATCACATCTTCAGAGCTCAGCTACCACCGAGTTATTTTAAAACAACCTAGATTTGAAAATCTGGAGCAGCAGGACAAACTCCTGGAGAAGAAACTGTAGAAGCGTGAGATAAAAATTTAAAAAATCCTCTCGGTTTTTGTCTCGTTGACTCTTCCTCTCTGTTCTCCTGATGATAATTAGAGTTTAAATTTATAATTAATAAAACACAGTTTGATTAAATCTATAAAGTAAAACCAAAAAGCTTCTGTACCTCTGTCTTCGTTCATACTTGCTGCATCGCAGTCGGTCATGGGCTCGTTTTTTCAAAATAAAAGCTTTCTGGACTTCTTTGTTCTGTAAGATGTCTCACATTTAGTCTGAATGGTTCCTTCAACCCTGACTGACTGATGGGGAGTTTCATAACTTTACACCTGGGACACACCTTGAGCGGCTGAGGTCACATGACCTACCTGTTCATACCACGGGTCAACTGGTTTTTTGTTTACCTCCCCCCATGTGAGAAGTTTTATTTACATGATTCAAGGTGTGAAATGTTGTGAAACCTCCTGCAGAGGAAACTGTTTGATCCCTACAAGATCCAAAATCCAAGAAAAGAAATCCACTTTTCTTCTACTTAAACGTTAAACTCTACAGAACCCATCACGAACATGAATGTCAGATAAATTAGAGCTTTTAATTATTTATTTAAATTGGTTTGTTTTTTTCTAATCCACATACAGTTTAAAGTTATGAACAGACTCAAGTTTATCCACCATCCACCTAAACCTTTTAGTAAGTGGTGCTGGAGGTTCTAAAAGGTCTTGTGACTTGACAGGGCCTGCTAACTTCCTGTTCGTGATCCTGACAGCTGGTAGTTTCGTTCACAGCACTCACTGGAGCCGCCATTACTCATTTATCTGTCCCTTGGGATGTGAAGACAGTGGTCGACATGTCCAGGAGCGATCCAGGAACCAGCATGGCTCAAGAAACTGCTGGAACACCAGAGTCCCTGTCCACAGTGGAGCCGGTTCTACATCACCGTGGACTGAAAGGACCAAGAAAAACACTCCAAAACCATCAAGCTGGACTGAAACCTGCAACCTGTCCACATGGATGAGACAAATGTCTTCTGGAGCAAATTTTAACGATCAGACGAGACAACGCTTGAAGTGTTTTGACACAACCACAAGAAGTCTGTTTGGAAGACTCAAGGTGAGACTTTCAGACCCGAGAACACTGAACAAGCTGCCAAGCATGGTGGTGGGAGCATCATGCTGTGGTGCTGAAGTACATGGAATAATGATGGAAGAAGACTAACACCAAAATCTTCAACTAGACCTCAAATCAGCTGCTAGATGGTTGAAACTTGGACACAGGTGGACAGGACAAGGACCCCAAACACACATCATCAGAACTGACTGGACAAATCATCAGCACTGGTTTCTGACTGGACAAATCATCAGCACTGGTTTCTGACTGGACAAATCATCATAACTGGTTTCTGAGTGGACAAATCATAAGAACTGGTTTCTGATTGGACAAAACATCAGAACTGGTTTCTGAGTGGACAAATCATCAGCACTGGTTTCGGAATGGACAAATCATTAGCACTGGTTTCTGACTGAATAAATCATCAGCACTGGTTTCTGATGGGATGAATCATCAGCACTGGTTTCTGATGGGATAAATCATCAGAACTGGTTTCTGATTGGACAGATCATCAGCACTGGTTTCTGA